AGTAAGAAATTGACCAATCACAGTCGAATATGAGAAGAATAATCGACTGTGATTGGTCAATTTCTTACTCTTACTTCTTACTCCGTGTATTGTAGACGGGCCTTAAGACCAAGAGCAGCGACACTACCGTGTTACATTACGCGAACCGGCGATTTGCGGAGTAATTTTTTACTTAACTTTTATTATTTCAGGTATATTTATGTTGTACTTATTGAAAATCGTGATTTTATGATTTTATGTTATTTATATCATTAAATTTATAATGTCGTATTTAAATTTCGCGGTTGCATTTGGACCCAAATATGATTGGTTGTTCTATTATGCCACCGCCATTATGCGCAATGTTACACCTTGGGTGCGTTCCACTTAACGCCCGCGACGCTCGTGGAATCATTTTATCCTTGTTGTTTATCAAATATTAAACAAGGACAAACAATGCTTGTGAGCGTTGCGAGCGTTAAGTGGAACGCAGCCCTTGTCTTATTACATCATGTGCGATCCGAGTGTGGTTTTACTTGCCTTGATTCAGATCCAGTGCTCCTAGTAACTTAAATCTCTCACTACCTCGAATCAATAGGTCTGTTCGCGTTACATGAAATCTTTAAATATTTTTTACACTTAAAATAAGATAGATATATATTTGGCTTTGAAAAGAAAGAAAGCGAAGATGCCGAGTGCAAAAAGTGCGAGCAACGCGAACAGACCTAATGCTAATCAATGCACTGCTCTGAATCAGTGCTAACCAATTCGATTGGCTTCACTTCATAGCAAAGAGCGGCTACAAAAATGGTATTGTTTGCGAATTCGATTACGAAACGGTAAGTTATATTAAAAAATTACGTGTATTTTTATTTTTATCTAAATACCGATATATCTTACATGAAATTGTTAATTGTTAATTGTTAATTGTTTAAAAATTTCTAAATTTTCATATAATAATTGTAATCTATTAAATGTTTCTCTCTTTAGACGAAGGTATCGCTAAAACTACAATAAATATATTAATTAGGTTATAATATATAGTTTTAATTATACAAATATCAC